TCCTTCTTCTTCATCTTCCTCTTCGTCTTCCTCCTCTTCTTCATCTTCCTCTTCTTCCTCTTCTTCCTCCTCTTCTTCTTCTTCTTCTTCTTCTTCTTCTTCTTCTTCTTCTTCTTCTTCTTCTTCCTCTTCCTCTTCTTCTTCTTCTCCTGCTTCCTCTCCCTCTTCCTCTTCCTCTTCCTCTTCCTCTTCCTCTTCTGCTCCTCCTCCCTCTTCCTCCGCCTCATTCTTCAGTTCTTAGATTCTTCCGAAAGAGAGAGAGGGACCCTTCAAGGTGTCATTCTCCCATCTCGCCCTCATCTTCTCCTCTGTGTCACGGCTGCCCTCCGACCCTCTGCTGATTTCTGTCTGCTTTGTCTTTCCCCCATCTCTCCTCAACTTCTCCCCTCCCTCACCGCTCCCTCTGCATCACCATCGTCCCCTAACCCTGGACAATTTCTCCCTGACCCCATACCTCCTTGACTTCCCCCCTCTCCCATCTGCCGCCATCTCCACGTCGCCACTGCATTCGAACCTCCATGGTTTTCTCTCAAACTCATCTCTTCCCACCTTCCCTCTACTTCGATCCCCATCTCCCACGACCTCCATGTTGCCACTCTCCCCTCAGTCTCCATGATTTCCCCCCAGTTCCCCTCTTGCCCATCACAGTTTTGAGTTTTCCCCTTTTCGAACTTTTCCTGTTTTCCCCGCAGCTCCCCCAATCTCCCCCAATCTCCCCCAATCTCCACCCATCTCCCCTCATCTTCTCCAGTCTTCCCCCATCTTGCCCAATGCCCTACCCCCCCAAATCTCCCCCTAATTTCCTTTCCCATCCCACCTTCTTCCGCCAATGTCTTTGGAGACTGTCCCCCAACCTCATCCTCAACCTACCCCCTCCTTGCCCCCAAGACAAATAAGTTGAAATAACCGAAAAAATAAAAAAAGTTAGCCCGGATTTGGGCAGATCTCAGGAGGCATAGAGATGCACCCCCAAATTCCCCCAGTGGTTTTCTTTTTTTTAATTAAATTTATCATGACTGGTTTTCGTCTCGCATTGGACCTTTGGTCCATCTGATCTTTTGGGACTATGCTACTATATAATATAATTTTATTCCAGTATGAGCTAGTGATGCTCTTAGTAGCATAACCAAAATCGCTGGATTTTCAGGACAGTGAAGAAAAAAATATCAAAAGTGTCTGGTGGATTTTCTTTGGCTGATATGTCTTTGGCCCTCGCTCACCACTCACGAAATGCACAAAAGACAAACATTATGGCGGTGCATATTCCATGTTCTGGCAGAAGATTCAGTCCTGTTTTGCCCATTTGCCGAGCGGTGGAGCGAGCCCCTTCTCCTGTTCTCAAGGTGGGGACTGGTTTCTATTTCTGAAGGTACAAGGAGCCTGTGTTGATAATCAACTCCCATGCGCAGGAAAAAGCAGCAGTTTATGACTCGTTGGTGACTGCACAGGAGAAGAAGGTAGAGGCATGTGCAGCGAAGGACACATTACTCGAGCAGAACGCATACCGGGAGGCTTCAGTAAGGGAAACGGTAAGTCCTCTGTGCCTAGCTATACATGAATGGCTCACGCTGCTGCTGTCCAATTAGATAACCGACATCTTTTTGCTGTTTTCATAAGCGACGATAACACAACTCCAAAAAATATGTACATAAAAATGGGAAACTTTTAAAATTGTTTATGGACTTAAGCAAGAAATTTTTTATTAAAAAAAAGAGAATGGAAAATAAAAAAAAGTGTCTTTTTTTCATGGCTACGCCGGACCCGGACCCGGACATTTCCGGACATGGAACCGGACCGTGTCCGGTAGTTTCCGGACGTCCGGAATTCTGAACATTTCCGGACCTCCGGACATGGGGGATCCCCGGATGGTCCGGATGTCCGGAAATGTCCGGACCATTAAAAAAAAAAAAATTTGAAAAAAAAGTATGTTATGCAGAATAACAATGCAAACCACTTTTGCCTCAGAGTCATGTCAGAATTCCTAACCAAACTTGAGTTAAAAGTCAAAAACTATAAAAAGCTTAAAAAAAGACTTMAAAAAGTTAAAAAAACTAATAAAAGGTAATGAATTATTCATAATAAAAAACTTGGGGTTGTCTAATAAATTATTATAGAGAGAGAGCATGTCCGGACCCCCCAAAAAAGCATAAACGGGCCTGAAAAACCCCCAAAACAATTTTGGGGGCTTGGCTCCTCAATGGGGAAGGGTCCTGGATCGTTTGTTTTTTTTTTTTTCTCGAAATTTGGCAGATCCGGACTGTCTGGACGGCGGTCCGGACGTCTGGATCGTAGCCATGCTTTTTTTGGTTTTTATTTATTTATTTATTAACAGAACCTTTTTATTAACAGAACCTTAAGGCTCTGGCTCCTTTTTTCCATTCTGGGGAGCATCAGTACGGTTCCTATTCCACCGGTAAGTCAGAAAGAATTACGCTGGGTACTCACACACGCACCTCCACCTTACGGTAGGAAGGCCTGAAAGACGGCATTGATTATTTCCCAAAGGATGGATGTACCACCCTTCACCCCTGCCTAAGTTAGCCTGTTTGACGTATTATTGGGCTTGGAAGGCTTTTCAGACTTATGGACCTGTCTTGTAGTTGCTGAAGGCCTGCCTATATGGGCTGACTCTAGCTTTTCCTCTCAGCTGTATGGCTGTCAGATCTGTGTGGATTGCTGGTAGAGCTAGTTCAACCTTAATCTGCGCCCTTAACTATGACCCTAGCCCTACCTTTCTAGGAACTGTAGTATTCTTTAGCCTTAGACTGCATTTTAGGCTTTTAACCCTCTAATTTTAATAAGTTGCTTTTCCCTCCAACACTAAACCCTAAGCCCTCGTCCTTTTTCTACTTATGGGGGGGGGGTATAGTCTCGGGTGAAGGTTGTTATGTATAATGGGGAGCATAGTAGGTGTGGGATGGCCAAATGGGGTTGGTAGAATTTTTCAGTGGGGTGAGAGGTGGAGGGCGTGTAAGGTATGTGTTTTGCTGCTTAGGGGTTTGGCTCTGGATGCAAGGAAGGTGGCTGGTTTAGTTGAACTTGTGCTGTTGCTGTTGACTGTGGTGTTACTGGGCGATTAGTAGGTAATGTTCATCGATTCCTAGGCCTTTTGGATTTAGATTGTGTCGTTTTCTCTATCCTGTAGACTGTGGGGGCCTGCTTCTGAGGTGGTGGTCTGTGGGCTTCTCGAGCTGATGGTGGGTCTTAGGATGCGATGGGATGTCATGGTTAACCAATCCTTCATTATCAGTCTGTTTCCTTCTATGGTGCCTAGATTTCCTCCTCCTAATTTGGATGTGGTGAATCTTTGATAATTTCTAGTGTTTTGTCTGGATGTTTTTTTATCCGGGTCTGAGTTCTCTTCCATAGGGCATGTATTTTGGTTTCTACAAGTTGTTTGATGATTATGAGGGAGTTTTCTAAGCTAGTGGGGCTGTCTTCAAAGGTCACATCTCACACCTCCTTTTCCAGATAGCCCAGAGGGACACCTTTCTTATTTGTGAAAAAAAGTACAAGTCAAAGCTTTTGAGGTGGGGGGGTGCTCTGTATCCAGGAATATGGTGCTTGGGTTTATTTGTACGTCTCTTCTACAGTGTCTGCTCCAGGTTCTCTCAATGTCGTGCCAGAGGGTTTGGGATTCTTGACATTCTAAGAAGCAATGATTAAGTATTTCGATGGATTCCGAGTTGCGGACTTTGCACCATGAGGCTTGCTCGGTTTTGTCCTCTTTTCTTCTTCTTTGTGCTAGCCAGTCGTTCACTGGGACTGCTCTGAATGTGATGAGCCATAGTAGACTTGCCAATTTTACTGGTTTTGTGCAGAATACATGAGGGAGCTTTCCTCTTTTTGCCATCTTTTTTGCACTATTGCAGTCGAGATGGGGGTAGAAAATAGTTTATATCCTAATTTGGCCGTGTAATCTAATAACTTATGTTTTCGCATCACCTTTGCGTTGGTGCTAGGGATGTTCCAAGACCATTCTGCGGGGTCGAATTCTAGTTGTTGGCTGTCCGAGGGTTGTAAACTTTGTTCTTCTATCCTTCTAAAACTCTGATTCTCTTGAGGTTGTTGATTTTAAAGGATCCTTCTGCCCTACTTTCATCGTTTAGCAAGCTCACTTGGTTTCATGGTTCTTTCAAGGGGAAGATGCTGCAGCAAATCCGTTCATTCTTATGAATTTTGTTGCTTGTAATTTTCACGACTTCTTTTGTGTTTGTCTGATTCTTCTGTCCGTCCCAGTCTCCTACAAGCCATTTTTGGTTTGTTCGTAGTAGGTGTCTCCATTCCATTGGTATAAATTCAGTGATGTGGGAAGGATTGACTTTGTAGATATGGTTCCCCTTGAGAGTCAGTCTCAGATCTTTCTCTGTTTCCAGGTATTGTCGGTCTTGTTCCACATGTGTTGAATTTGCCAGATCGTTGCAGATCCCTTTTTCTAGCCAATTCCCCAATTTGGCATCTGATTTGGTCAGAGAAAAGCTTTCTCCCTTTTCATTTTTGATGGAGTTACCAAATAGGGGTTGTCTGAGGACTTCGTCTCTTCTTTTGGGGCCCAGTTTGTTTTCGGGAAAATCTTCTCGAAGTGCGTAGTAGTTGCTCCCATAAGGATTTGGACTGGTCGTTAGATGCGTCTTCTGTTTGGCCTGCTTGCTGGTTATGGGTCTTTTTTTTCCCTTGGAAGGGGCCATTTATTATTAGGTATCCAGAATAGGCTTGACATATTAGAGGGGGAGCTGTACAGAGGGCCAGTGGTGCCCATTGGAGGTTACTATGTAGGATTAGTCTCATATCCATTTGGTTTGTAGGGCCTGTATTTTTCGGGCTGGGTCTAGGAGGCCCAACCCTCCCTTTCTCTCCGGTAGCGTTACTATTTGTCATGCTACTTTGTGGATAAAGTGTTGTTTATCAGGATTGCCGGTCCACAGGTATGCTGTGGCGCTTCTTACTTCTTGTTGAAAATCAGGTGTTGGGAACCAAATGGATTTGGCATACCACATCATGGAGAAGATTTGAGTTGTTGAGTGCCAGTACCCTACCTAGGAGGGATGTATGTGATCCTTGCTAATTATGCATTTTATTGATCATTGTAGTTAGTAGAGATGATGTTGATGTTGGGTGGCTTCCTTCCATGCTTGTTTGTATTCCCAGGAACCGGATCGGGGTCACAGGGTCAGTCCATTGGAAGCCTTCTGGGGCGTGTGTCGTGGGTAGGGGGTCTGGTGAGACCCACCAGCCCACCGTCTTTGGCCACTGATTTTCATTTCGGAGGCTAACTGGAAGGCTTGCATGGCTCTAGTTAGCGCCTGAAAGGAGTCAGAGGCTCTTATTAGTACCGTTAAGTCGTCTGCGAAAAGAAGGGTGGTCGGGAGGTGTATTAGGTTACCCCTCTCGTCACATATATTTTCCAGTCTTTTTATCAAGGTATCTTTTCTTAGAAAGGCTGAAATCGCTTCCATGACGAAGAGGGAAATCGGGGCTGCTAAGGGATCTCCTTGTCGCTCTGATCTCGACATTTTATGGGGGTTGGATAGGAACCCATTGACTTGGACTATTCCCTATGCCTCATTGTATAATACGCTTACCCACTTACAAAATTTCGGGCCTACACCCATTTTTTGGATGCATATTTGTAAGAAGTCCAGTTGACTTGATCATATGCTTTCTCAAAGTCGAAAAATAGGATAGCGGCTGCGAAGTTTTTTTTATTAATTATTCCAGTTGCTTCGGTTATGTTCATTACATTGTCTGATATGAGCCTGCCTGGGATGAAACCTGTTTGGTCTAGATGGAAGTTGAGACGGTTGATTCTGGAGGCTAGTAATGTGGGTAAGATTTTATAGGCCACGTTCAGCAAGGATATGGGTCTGTAATTTTTTATATCTTCATTGTCTTCTTTTTTGTAGAGGAGAGTCACTACTCCCGTGCTCAGGTCTGGACCTAAAGATTCCTTTGTCCATGCTTGTTTGAGGAAACTTAGGAGTAGGGGTCTAGGACATGCCAACTTGCTAACCAAAATTCTTTAGGTAGTCCGTCTCTGCCTGGGGCTTTATTGAAAAAGTTTCCTCTAGTGTGATTGTTTTTTCTAGTATTTCTGCTGCTTCAGTTGATAGGGATCGATCTAGGTGGGTTATGAATTTATCCCTAGCTCTTGTAACTTCATTTCTTTTTTCTGTTGGCGTTTTGCTAGTGTATAGTTCTTTATGAAAGGTGGCTGCAATATTGATTAGTTGGGTGGTTTCTGAAGTAGGTATGGCGTTGGTGTCTAGTAAACTTTTTATTTTCGAGTTTCTTGAATTGGATTTAATTTTATGGAAGAAGTATTTGGACATCTTTTCGTTCAGTTTGCAATCCCTTACCCTGGCTCTGAGTTGGAGACCTTGGAGTTTCAATTTTGTCCATTCCACGAGTTCCTGTTTGGATTTTGAATACAGTTCTGAGAAAATTCAGAGTTGGTATTGAGTTGTATGTTGCCCTCCGCCACTTCTATTGCGTTCTTGAGCATCTCTTCCCTTTCTTTCCTTTGGGCGGC